CCAATCAGAGCACAGCAGGCTCAGTTAAAAGGAACTGCTGGGCCTGAGCAGGTCAGTTCCTGGCAGGGACCAGAGGAGTAAGGAAGGGTGCTCCCTGACGAAGCTCAAGGGAGAACAGAAGATGGATTCTGGTGGCATTGACATTTGGTAAGGAAAAAGAGGAGTTAAGAAGTTCAGCCCTGAGATAAGGGTGAAGAGGAAGGGACTACATGGGAAGCAGCCCAGGGAACAACAGCAGCAACTATGACAGGAAGCAGCACGTGGCTGCTATTTGTAGAGTCCCTGGCTTGGGACCCGGAGTAGTGGGTGGGCCTGGGTCAGGGTGGCCAAAGCCCTGAGAAGGGGAGAAGTTTATTTAGACGCCCAAGCACAGGACTGGAATTTAAAGGGCTGAAGACCCCGCAGAGGGCCATTTGCTGGAGTTTGTTACCTCAGAAGGGGACTGAACTTGCAGGCGTGACCGAGCTGGGGCAATAAGAACTGATAAGGCAAAGAGTCTCCAGGGAGAGTCCTGGGGGCACCGCTCTATACCAGGGCAGGCGCTCCTAGTTCCAGCCACTATCTTGTGCCAACGAGCGGTGTTAGCTCTGTCGGCAGGAGAAGCTCTCCTGCGGACATGGTGCTGTCCACACTAACACCTTTGCCGGTAAAACTTTTGTCAGTCATGAAAAAACCACCCCCCTGACTGACATAAGCTTCACCAGCACAAGTGGTAATGTAGACAAAGGCTAGGTTTCCCCAAAGCTGAAGAAGAAGAGCTCTGAGTAAGTTCAAAACCTTGTCTCTCTCAAGTTGTCCCAATAAAAGATGTTACCTCACCCACCTTATGGGTAAGTACTAGCATTTGAATAGTGATCATGAGAAACCAGCTTATTCTATTACTGTCTATTCAGACTTCTCATGTTACTAGAATATTAAATGTTCTGGCTTCTCACCTGCCACTGTTCAACAGACCCATAATCTACATAATAATTTTGTCATTGTGGTGCTGGTGGGGGAATTCCTGACTCCAGCTCTGTTGAAGCATTTCTGAATATTTGCAATTGGCCTTCATTAAATAAGGCTGTATAGATGTCGTGGGCTTGGCATGCTGCCCTATTACTCTTATAAGTCTGCATATACCAGGGTTTCTTCTGCATTGGGTTGCTATTGACTAACCAATGTCTCATCTGGAGGAATTGCCAACCCTGCAGCTCCTTAAAGGTTTTAAAATGATCATGGGGCGGGGGGAGGAACTTGGTATGGGAACAGAGGACTCTTCTCTAACCCCTGCTTCCCCATCATTGATTTGACTCCAATTAGCGGGGCTGAAATGCCCAAGAGTATTGACTCTTCATATGTCAATGGACGACATTTTAGTCTGGCTGCTAGATTCTTTGGGTAGCATCAATTTCCAGTGATCGTTCCTGTGAATATCTGGGATACATGGACCTTAAACACCACAGTAGAGCGGGGGTTCCTGTTCTATGTGGATCCATAATGAGGCATTATGAGCTATGTCTACGAACCATTGGGGCCGTCTTAAGAGGAAGAATGTTTTACAAAGCCTAATACAATCCTTCTTTGCTTGCAGGAAGGTATTGTTTTTCCACGGATATCAGAGCTCCATATTCAAACGTGAGGTCTAATATTTTTTTTAAGTAAAGAGTATGAACAGGAAGGGACGGGGCCAGAGGGACACTGGCAGATCTTCCCCTTTGTTCTGAGCTCTTGATGCTGTAGGAAGCAAGGGGTCAGAATTTCTTTTGATCACGTGAGTCAGTAGCTGCGAGGACAAGCTTCCCTCTGCCCAAAAATCAAAACAAAACTTAGATCCACAACCAGAACCGGGAAGAATTTCCAGCATAGTGCAGTTTGTTTTGGATGATGGTGAGTAAATTGGGTTGAAATAGCAGGACCAGAGCATTCGAGAACATTTCAATGAATGTCCTACACCGGCAAGTCCTGCTTGCAAATAGTGTCCTTCACATCAGATCCGTGAGCCAAATCCTCAGCTGATACCAAGGGAGTGATGCTGCTGATTTACACCAGCAAAGGCTCTGGAACTTCACAACTGGGATAGGAAGAAACCCTGAAAGCAGCTGTCACGGAGAGTTTCTGAAAATTACCCCACCCCAGGTACGAGGGCTGTAGCAAGAACTCCTCCCGAGCCTCTGAGTGTGGAAAAAAGAACCTATTTTCTACGAAAGACCTGTAATTCTAGCCAGACCGAAACACAAGGCACCCAAGAATCTCCACGTGCTTCTTGAGTAAAGAGGAACCAAAAGCAAACAAATAAGAACTAATTAG